AGTGGCAACCGGGTGTGGGTCTCCTGGGGAAATCCCGCCCCCGATTCGGGATGGGCAGACAAACAGGCCAATCAAAAGACAAATTTTGGCCTGATCGACAAGGCTGAAAGCCAATTAAAAACCAAAGATCTCCCTGACTTTTTTTTTTTTTTTTTTCGCCTCTCTCCTCTTTTCTTTTTCTTCTTTTATTTTTTTGGCAAGAGCAGGAAGCTGCGTGCTAATCCCGCCTGCAAGATCTAGAAGAGAGGGGCGGAATGAAAAAAAACCAATCATAAGCCAGGAACAAAGAACAGAGAAACCAATCCTTGGGTCGAAGACCAAGTGGGATGGAACTGAGTACAGATAGACATATAACTGGACAAATGGGTAAAAAAGATTGACATAGGTCCCGCCTTTCACATGTCCTATTGGGCAGGATTGTGGTGAATTTGCTGTCATATCGGAGACGACATCTTCAGGAGGCGGGGCCAATGGAAAGGGGTGTGGTTTGATGTGGGCGGGACTTAGGTGAAGAAGGCGGGGTCCAAATCATCTCTGGTCCATTGATAGAGCCATCTACAACTCTTTCTAAGGCATATGATACGGAAAAAATAGAAGGAGCAAAAAGACATTGAGCTTCAGAAGCTCAAGGTTCAAGGTTACTTAAGAAGAAAAAGAAGCTCAGTACATTAGTAGATTAACCTTGATTTTGACCAAAAAGGCTTTATTTTCAGCATGCCCTCTCAACAGACTGCAAAATTTTACAAATTAAAACCCAGAAGAAAAAAAAAAGTTAAAGCCCCAAACAGTAATATTCTCCCAAAGTTTTCTGGTCAAGTAAGTTCCAGTCATTGAAATTTTACTGGAAGAACATCATTCTTCGGTATATTTTATTTAACCTGAATTTACTCTTAACTTCTGGGCTAACAACCATTATTCTTAGTAAAAACTGTGTACCAAAAACCTGGAGTCCATCTTTGATTCCCCTTTGCCTGTCCACTCCTACATTTTCTATCAAGAAAGCAGTCTTAAACTCTCTAACCATCTCTCCATCCCCACTTCTCATTCAACATAGTATTACCCAAACTTAACACCAGTAGAATATTTAACACATCCCCCTACCTACAGCTCTCCTTTAAATTAATGGTTGCTGAGGGCACAGTAAACTTTTCAGCTCCCATCATCTGTAAAAAGGTGTTGATGCTGCCAGTAAGTTTGCTGGTTAAATCAAGAAAGAAGGCATAGAGATTTCAAGAGAAACTATGAATCATGTAAGATTCTGGAGAGATGAAGGATGGCATATTTCAGAGTTCAATGTGATTTTGAAATGTAAGGAATTGCTTTGGGTTGAGTTCCATAGAAGTTAGTTACTGGCCAGGCGTTGGTGGCTCACGCCTTTAATACCAGCATTCAGGAGGCGAGGCAGGTGAATCTCTGTAAGGTCAAGGCCAGCCTAGTCTCCAGAGCGAGTGCCAGGATAGGCTCCAAAGCTACACAGAGAAAACCTGTCTCAAAAAACCAAATAAATAAATGAGGAAAATAGTTCAATAGTCTAATTTTAGTTGAAGATTGGGTTTCTATGATTTCAGTTATCCATAATCAACTGTAATCCAAAAACATTAGATAGAAGATTGCAGAAATAAACAGTTTGAAAGGTGCCCCATTCTGAATAGTGGGATGAAATTGTGACTTAGCCCTGTCAGTCATCAAATCAGTTCCCACTGTATTGCAAGGCTTATGTTGCAATAGCATCACATGGTGGTCTACCACTTCATCATAAAGCCCAAGTCATTTATTCTAGAGGCATTGTATTATCTCAATTCATCACAAGAAACACTGTGAAAACAGGGACACATTCACAACACTTGTGATACAGTACACAGAATACAAACTGAGTACCCTTAATCTGAAAATCCAGAACTGTAAATATCCCTAATCTAAAAATTTTCAAGGGCCAACATGACAGCACAAGTAGAAAATTCCATCCCTGGCTTCCTGTGGCAGATCACAATCAAAATGCAGGTATACTTAAATATGATTACCTTAATCTTTGAGGTTACCTTAAGGCTTGCTTGTGAAGCTTATATGAAATGTAAATGAATGTTGAGTTTAGAGTTGGATCCCAGCCCCAAGATATCATTATACACGTAAATGTATCAAAATCCTAAAAACAAAAATCCCAAATCTGAAACGCTTCTGATCCCAAGAATTAAAGCTAATGGATGCTCAACAGTTCTAGTTTATAATTGTTGGCATTTCATCTTTTTTTTTTTTTTTTTTTTTTTTTTTTTTTTGGTTTTTCGAGACAGGGTTTCTCTGTGTAGCTTTGGAGCCTATCCTGGCACTCGCTCTGGAGACCAGGCTGGATTGGCGTTTCATTTTATTGTGCCTAATTTATAAGTGAAACGTTATCAAATATATGTATGTACAGGAAAAAAAAGAATACCTGTATGATTTGGTACTATTCATGGTTTCAGGCACTGGTTTAGAATTCTTGGAATCGTTCCTTGAGGTTAGCAGAGAAATAGTGTACAAGCCTGACCATGCCTCTAGCCTAAAGTCAATAAGCATAAATAGCCTGGCATGAGCTAGTTCCTGTCTACTTCAGGGGCCTTCCCTGTCACTTCCACCCTCTCTGCTTGAGACAGTCTAAATTTCAGTTCCTCACATGCTTTGATGTCTCTAAGACTTCATTGTTTATTTTCAGCTTCAAAGATCTCTCACCCATGCTCCGCTCCTCTAGTTCATCCTTCGGGCTTCATGGGAATTTCATATTTTCTTTCAGAAAGCTTTTTACTATCCCTCATCTAGACTATGACTCTCCATTACAGATTTTCATGGGACTGCCTCCCTCATAGCATTGAGAACTATACTCTAATTGCTTATTGAGTTTAACCAGAACAGAGAGCTTGTCTGTCTCACTCAATGTCATATACCGTGTTCATAGGACAGTGCCTGAAAAAAAAAAAAAAACAAAGACACTGGAGATCTATCTGTACGAGCTACTTACTTAGGTCAGGAAGAGTCAGTGCAAACCCAAGAACTGTAATTTGCTAGCTCCATGTTTCTGGCGATTTAACTAACCTTGCTCAGTCTCAGTTGCCTCCATTGAAATAATAATATGTGCTTCATTAAGTTGATGTGTGGATGAAATGAGGTGGCATTTTGAAAAGTACTTAGCAAGGAATAAAGTTCAATATTCCTTAATTTTCTTCTCCCCTCACTCTGAAGTAATGCTTGGGACACCTTTCCAATTTTCCAGTGTACAACAGCCTCCTTTAAAGTGTAGTTTTTTGAGAAGCTTCTCCAGCACTCAAGTTCTCTGATTCTGGCCAAAATCTATTGAGTTAGAGTTTGGATGGGAAGGAAGAGCTGCAATCTGGTTAACAAGACCTCTCCGTAATGCTGCCCTGAGGTTGGGAGGACACCGGACCCCAGGAAAGGTACTGAGTCTTCTCAAATTTGACTTTCAGCACCTGGTACAGGGATTTTTGAAGGGACTTCACTGGGGGCACCAGTAGCTCATTAAAGAGCTGTACATCTATTTAGAATCAGAATTTCCACCCACAGTGAGCACACTCCAGGTGCTACACAAATGGATCCATTAGACTCCCGAGAGAAATTAGAACAGCTCCTGATGGGGTATGGAAGTGAGCATCAGTTATGCTGGCACTTAAAAAATGGAGGCAGAAGGATTATGAGTTCCCCTCCACCCCGACACAGTGAGATGTTTGTCTCAAAAACAAGAAACAAACAACAATGAACCCCCAAGAAATCATTATAGATCAAATCAAATAATTTTCAAATATAATTTAAAATGTCTATTGACACTGAACATGATAACTAATGCTCAGAATCCTGGCATTCTGGAGGCTGAGTCAGGAGAATTGCCATAAACAAGTTCAAGGCCAACCTGAGCTCCAGAGTGAGACCCTGTCTCAAAAAAATAAAGCAAAAATTGCCGGGCGGTGATGGCGCACGCCTTTAATCTCAGCACTCGGGAGGTAGAGGCAGGTGGATCTCTGTTAGTTCGAGACCAGCCTGGTCTACAAGAGCTAGTGCCAGGACAGCCTCCAAAGCCACAGAGAAACCCTGTCTCAAAAAACCAAAAAAAATAAAAAATAAAAAAAAGCAAATAAAAAAGCTAAAAGGAACACTTAGAATTATCTGGATGTTTTACTTATCCCAACATAACAAAAATATTGCAAATTTCATATGCAATAAATATTTGAAAAGAGACACATACATATATATTACAAGGTCTTTGAAATCTGGTATGCATTTTTACACACATATAGCACCACTTAGTTGAATTAAAAACTCAGTTTCACCGGGCATTGGTGGTGCATGCCTATAATCTCTGTGAGTTCAAGGCCAGCCTGGTCTACAGAGCTTGTGGCAGCAGTTACTTCATTAAATAGCATAGATCTAGACCATGGGTTTGAAACTTTGCCCTGCCCCTCCCTTACTAGTTACTTGACCTTGGCAGGTTCCTTAGCCTATCTTAGAGTGAATGCGTTTGTCTGAATAGAGAGGATCCCTGACTTCTTCAGCTGTGGTGATCAAACAGGCAATCCACAGAAAGTATGTAGCCTGGAGCCTATTGGCTCCTCATCAGTGGCAGTAAGTGGGATGGTTATTATTAGTATTACAATCCAAGGTCAAGCATCACAAGTCAGATGAGAAATACTCTGTGGGCTTGGCTCAGCTCATATTCCCAGCATTCTAGCCACATAGGGTGCCTGTCCCCTTAAACATC